CGGCCCTGCGGTAAGTGCGGCTCTGAAGCCTCCCGGGGGGGGTTGTGACCGATTTACGAGATGTCAGGAGTTCGGAGGCCGGGGTTGCGGAGGGAGCGGTGAAGCGGGTAGCGAGCTCTTCCTCTGCCTGCTTAAAAGTGACACTGAGGGAAGTGCTCTGGGTCGCTGGAAGCCTCAGGAGGCGTGCAGACTGCGGGGGTTATTTGCAGTGATGTATTTCATGCCTAAACCCCAGACTTTATAAAAGCACGGAAGGGGAAAGAGCTGGATAGTGACAGCTCTTTACACCCAACCCTCTCAATTCTGCTGCCCGAGTGGAGCAGGCGCCCAAGCACAAACCCCTGTGTGCTCCTGCTCTCTGGTGCAGCAGCACAGCGAGGCACGCTGTCCTTTGCTGTCCCACTCCACCAGGGCCAGCACCCACCTGCCCTTAGAGACAGCAGCTCCTTCACTCCAGAGTCTGCGAAATCTGCTGTCTGAGAAGTGCAGGTACCTACCGCTTGAAACCGCAGTATTTCCTAGAGCTGTGAACACTGATTTTTGGCTTGGCCAGTCCTTTGTTCTTTTTTCCTACAATCCAGCTGCTGATGAGGCAACGTGTGATTTTCCCCGTGTATGTCCTGGAAGTCCCGACCTTTGTGTGCTCCAGCGCATGGTACAATTTCATGGCAGAGCTGCAGATCTTCAGATCTACCATCCAGACTCTGCTGACTTTACTGAAATCACAGCCGCAAGCTACACTTGCATGGAAAGCAGTGATTACTTTGGTTTCCTTTTCCGATGAAAGCATGGATCCTATATATCTGACAACCAGAAAGATTTCTTTGGCAAATGTATTTTATTAGAATCAACCATAGCCTTGCTTTTGGTACCATATATTTCTGTCATGGTGTGTTTGGATGTATATGTCTTTTCTAAACCATTCAGATCAAAATATATCATGATACATAATCAAACTATACATGGATATGCATATATATATATATATATATATATATACACACCAGATATGCATAATGTGAAAGAAGATGAGCCTAATGCAGTTAACGAGGTAACTAAAATACACTATAAGCATTTCAGCAGGTAGCAGTGAGATTTCTGATAGAAGAAAATGGGGTGATATCAGGCAAGTAGTAGTTTGCAGCCGTAACTGAAGTGGTGGCATTAAAACCAATATTATGGTGATCATGTGAAGCCATGGCAGGAGGATGATTGCCAATAAGCTGGGCTCTCATCAGCTCTGAGCTGCAGCCGCTGGCTTTGACCACAGCTTGTTCTGTTTGCTGACCTCCACAGGAGCGGTTTGGGTGGTCCTTCTTCGTGCTGGCTGTCCCGGACTGAGTCAGAGCTCAGGTGCCGCGTCCCCGGGGGAAAGCTGTGCAGTGACCGAGGCAGATGCGAGTGTGGAGTCTGCATCTGCCAAGTGACTGAGTCTGGCAAATACTACGGTCCGCTCTGCGAGTGCCACGACTGGGTGTGCGAGATCTATGATGGGAAGATCTGTGCGGGTAAGGAAACCTCTATGGTGACGGAAGCTTAGATAATTAAGAGTATCTATTATAAACAGAAATATGGTGGGAACACAGCACAATGATACAGTAGAGATACAGTTATGTATGTGTACCTGAACCATGACTCTAAACAGGATTGTGGGCACATCCAAGGATTTCACCGGATTAAAGGATACAAGTCAAAGGCACCATCTATGCCATAAAATGGGACTTTGCCCAGAGAAGCTTCATCTGCAGCAGGGGCAAAAGCAGGAGTTGCTTTGGGTTGCAGGCTCTGCAAACTTTGCGTTGAATCTAATACAGGACACAATATTGTTTGTGGTTTTCACATTGTATTGCTGCATTTGAATAGTTTGCCTAATAATGGCATAAAGTATCTACAAAGGCTTTAAACTATCTCTGAACAATCAATTTCATCTTGTAATTACATTTTTTTTCTTCTGCTATGAGCAAGGTTTGCTGTAACAGGTACCCCCACACTGAGGGACTGTAAATACGAAATCTCTGTTTTTCTCCTAGTAATGATAATGCTTTCTAAATAGAGACTTAACTGTATTGTGGTTTCAGAGATTTCCCCACTGACACTGTATTCTTTAATGACAAATGAAATAACATACATTTCTGGGACAGAATTTAGTCTCCAGCAGTTGTTGGAACATGTTGCTTGGTTTGCATCTAAACATTATCACTCTTTCATCTTTCCAGCTGTCTTTACTTAAGTTTCTGGGCTATTTCGGTCAGATTTTGGACTTTTTTTTTTTTTTAAGCGGCTTAGTATAGGATTTTAGAAAAAAAGCAGGGAGAAGAAATGCCATCACATTCCTAAGGGGATTCAGCCTGGAGCTCGACGAAAGGGGTCAGAAGGGTGATTCATTTCTAGAATCCCTTCTTCAACAGCTTTACCAGAGTCACACAAACGTGTCATATTTTCAGGCCAAAAACTGCAATTAGGTCAATGGGAATGTTACAGCAGTTCTCCTAGTAAGAGGACAATACAAATGCATTCCAGCAGTGGGTTTGGCAAATTTTGTAGGAAAAAAAGAGCAACTTATTTTAGCAAAAATGTAGCTAAGAATAAGGAGTCCAATAATAACATGAAAAGATCAAGGATGGGATTATGAGAAAAATATTTGTATTTGGCACCTATGACTTTAGAGTTTTATGGAGAAACTGATTTATAGACTGTAGTTAGCAGTGTTAAATCCAGTTACATAAAAAATAATGGGAGTCCACCAGTCATTTCAGTGCTTTGCTCTCCCAAACGTGAATATCCTGATTGGTGGTGTGATTTCAATATGCTTGCTATTATTGCTGGGATAATTGTATAAAGTGAAACTGAAAGCTCCTTCAAGTTTAATATTCTGCTACAAACTCCGCTATTATGTTCCTGTTAATCTCATGAACAGTGGCTGCAAGTTTTGCCAGTGCTTTGGTGGAAAGGAGTGCTGACAGGATAAACAAACCCAAGAGACTTCTAACAATATTTAGCCTTTGTGTAGCACTTCATGCAGCAGTTCAAAGATGTGAATGTTAAGTGATTAAATGTTTTTTTAAAAACCGTATTTTTTGTAGTTGTCACCATTTGTAGCTGGAGTATTGATGCTGTGCTACCACTGAGATGTCAAATAATTTAAATTCACTTTTCTAGAAAAAAAGTAGTAAAAAATTCAGGACAAAGTCATGGGGAGGGAAACAGCTGTGAAGGGCCTAGGGTTTTTGCTTCTTTGTTGTTGTTGGATTTTTTTTGACAACACTGCTTGCTGAAAGTCCAGCTGACTTTTTGGAGTCCAGGGCTACCCAGCACTGCAGGAGAGTGGCTCTGGGTAACTCCTCTGGAGCTGGCACACAGGGTCTGGATCCAGATGATAAAATTTCTTCTGTGTTTCATGCCCTCTTAATTTTCCCTCAATGTTTTCAGTCACTCGAAGCTGTGTGTATATGGCAAGAGGGGAGAATAGAAAAGATGGTCAGATTAGGTATAACTGTCAGGAAACGGTCCTTATGTTGTATGAATAGCATCCCCCTCCAATCATTCAGTGAACCACATCTTCTGATGCTTCTTAACATTATTTCACCAAGCAATTTTCCATGTATGACACTTTCCTTTCCTTGCATTTTTGAGCACATTTTTTGACTCAGGGATGAAATTATTTCCTCTAGGTGAATAGCCAAAATACCGTACTGCAGTTCTATTCCTGTTTACCTTTGGGGATGTTTTTGCCTATTTTTATTTTGATATTGGCTGTCCTATTTCATTGTGGGTCTTTCCTGGTAAGTACAACAACAATAACTGGTACCACATGCAGAACTTCCAGACACTAAATGAATATTCCTCTAGAGAGCCATGGTATTTGTGATTAATGCTGTATCAAACAAGCTACTTTTCAAGCTGCCAGAGTGATGTCTTTTTCAAGTGATTGATGTCTAATCACTGGTGAAGTTCATATTCAGAGCTGGACAGGCAGATTTGGTTAAGTCACGAGTGCCAAAGGTAGCTGTGTTTCCCTGCCGGTCAGTTCAGACATACCTCCACTTCCCTCTCCTGTCCCAAGCAAAACAAAATACTTAGTTGCTCAGTATGCCAGCTCATTATCTTCAAGGCACTTTCTGGGTCAGATCCACCTTCTGGACCCATCATTGGACACCCATATTCTGAAGAGATGTCCATCTGTTTATGATTTGCTTTTTCTTATGACCTTATATAAGCAGTGGGAAAGAGGTTATGCTATGAGCAATGAAGAATAACAGATGCAGATGTCTTCGTCCTTTTGCTCTCCCTTGAGACTTCTCTGCTGTATTTCCCTTCTGTGATGTTTCCCTGTGCTTTAGAGGGAATTCTGATAATTTTTTTTTGCCTTTTATCCCACTGAGATTGATAAAGCAATAGATGATCTCTCATGGAATCAGAAACAAAAAAGAGAGAGAAATGAAGTGCTGTAGTCTGAGTCACTGAGTCTCCTGTGCTCCTCAATGGCCTTTTTATCTGTCAGCCATGTGATAGTGTGTAGAGGAAAGAGTAGAGTCCCAATACTGTCATTCTCTTTGCATGTAGGTGACATCTTTATTTTGTCATTTGCTGATGGTCTTTAAGGAGTTAAGCTAAGAGGAGGAGGACTGAATCAAACGCTGAATCAAAACCCCAATGGATTTATGCTTCATTCAGAGCAGACAATATATTTGTTGCTGTTTATTTGCAAATAGTAGTTCTGACCTCAGACAGTTTCACATATTGCCTCAGGCTTTCTTAGCATAAGTGGAGCCTGTGTTGTCTGCAGAGGAAAGTGGAATGCAGCACTAAATTCCTATCACATCACTGCTTGATACCTATTTTTTCTGTGGTTTTGCAGTACAGAAAAAAAATCAATTTTTGTGACTTTTTTTTTTTTTAGGTAGTCTTTTTTACTGTGCCTGTGATTAATGAAGATAAAAAAGTAAACTAAACATAGACTTCCATGGCCAACTGGAGTGGGAACACTCTAGATATTCCTAGAGAATAGACCACAGAAATTGCCAGCTGGGCCATAAGACAGTATGATTGCACTGTTCATAGTTGGTGAGATCAAGGGACAGATAGGATTTGGCGACTGCATAGAGAGCAATGTATAAAGAAGGTTTCTCTTTGCTTAAACCTTTATTCATTGTCTTTGTTTTTCCGTAGTTAGTAAGATTTATTATAAACTTTTTTTTTTTTCAAACCAAAATACCTTTTACACCTACTGAATTATAGTGTCACTGTGTGATTTATCAGTTCCATAAGCAGTTTCTGGGGAACTTTTGTGGCTGCTGTTCAGGCCAGTGAAAGATTTTCTGTTTTCTTTCTCTAAAGCTGTAGTTGCTGTAAGTGCTGTACCTATTTTAAGACTAGTTCAGCAATGTAATGGCAGTGTTAGTCGTAGGTTTTCACAGCCAGAAGTGTTATCATAGTTACGTGAAGGACAGAAGGATATCAGTGCCATTATTTTCCACTCTGTAAGGCTTTAAACTATGCAGAGAACACAAGTGGAAAATTAAATTGACAAGTAGTAGATGCAGAAATACAAGACAAGTTCAAATTAAAGTATTGCTGTAATATGTAGCTATGTATCCATGTGAGTTTATTGGATATAGGGCCATATATATAGGCTGGAGTTAGGAAATTGAGAATGGAATTTGGAGAACATTCTGAGCAGAGAATTACTCTTTGCTCAAAACCTGAATAGTGTTTTTAGGCAGAGCTATCTTAGTTGAGTTGGAAATGCTCTAACAACTGCACCTTTGTATTTGTACTGAAGGGAGGTCTGACATGCTCATTTTTTATTGAGCAGCACTTCTTGATAAAAGCGTGAAGAAAAGCCAGTCTGTGACCTGCATTGATTACTGTTTGAGCTGAAATGAAATTCAAAACCTTAGATTTTGAGAACAGATGTAAGCCTCTTCTCTGTCAGAGGCCATGTTTGCAAAGCTTCAGCTGTGGCACACGTGGTCACTGGAGACACAGCCTCCTGAAAAGACCAAGTTAAAAATATGGCCAGAGGCTAATGATGAAAATGAAGGTTGCAGTTCTTCTCTGACCTGGTTTGCTTTAGTCTGGATTTCAGAACTTGTCTTAAGTGTCATTTCCTCCTGGAGCAGGGATTTGTAGGTGTGATAATAGCATACATATTCATCTCAAAACAAGTCTCCCAGATTCTAGTATAAGTGAAATTGTGATAGCATAGACCTCATTGCGGGCTCATTGACTTGCTGAGTGCATGAGGTCCTGGCAGACTTACAAAGTACAAGCTAAAAGCCTTTATTATTCTCAGCTTGTGCTGTTGGTACCTGATCTAGGTAAGCTCAAGAAGCCTTTGATACCTCTACAATTGCTGTAGTTCCCAGTGCAGTGTGTATGTTCATAGTGGCAAGCGAGGCACGGGGATGAAGCTCCTAGAGAGGCACTGCGAGGGGGATTACTGGAAGGGAAACATTTTAAAAGTGTCTCATTAAATTATTTGTAGCTAAATGCCCGGCTATCATTT